GGAGGATTTTGATGGAAGAGTACAGATGATGGGTGAATGAACACGTCCTCCTCAATGCCAACAGCACGGTACTCTACACCACGAGCAGAGGCCATTTTCGTACCTGTAGAAAAGCCTTTCTCCACCACATCCTTGCGAGCTGCAATTTGATCGATAAAGCCTGCTGTAATCAGTTGTCTAAGTACTTTTAGCTACGAAACACTGTCAATGAGATATTGTGACCCTATAAAGCCACCCCACCTGTAGTGGACTTGGAGGAGCTTGACGAGGGTTAAATCCAGCATCTTGATTAGACAGAACAGAAGAGACTATGGATGAGATTTGAGCCCGTAATTTATGTATCTCTTCCATAGCCTAGACCATAATGATGAGCCCCTAAATGTATATCCATATTTACTCACTTTATCGCGAACGAAATGTTTCCGACAAAATTCTGTAGTCCCTCCTGCAAATTCATATGCGCCTATAACCGACAAGAGCTTGAATAGGTCACTTTGTCCATTACCCAGAGAGGCGTGCTGAGCTTGAATTTCAAAGAACCCCTTACGCATGACCCTGCGTTTCTCGCGTTCCTTGAGTTCATCGTCCTGTAAGTGAGCACTATATAGAGCACCCTCTTCACCTATCGGTTCCTCCTGAGAATCTTCGTCTTCTCTGAGCTGTTCCTCCCGAACAAATGGGTCTCCAACTGAGAGACCCGCGACAATAGAGATAACGTAGGGCAGGCATCCGTGTTGCGCGCCATTGACCAAAATTTTACCGAATCTTGGATGAACAGGAAACATGGCCATAGTGCGACCTAGTGATGTTATATGTCCATTAGCGTGTCCATTGGCCTTTAGATTCGGCTCTATAGCGCCTAGATAAGAGAGTAACTTCTCCGCTTTCTTGAGAGAAAATCTATCCGGAGGTGTAGGGAATGGAAAATTGACTATGGTATCAATATGCATACTCTTCATCTGTAATACGGTTCCTTCAATCGGCGTCCTTAATATTTCTGGAGATGCATATTGTTCGAAGTAGTGTTCATAGAGTGAAGAAGAATATAGTCGGTAACAATGGCCAGGTCCTGTGCGACCTGCTCTGCCTGTTCTCTGAGCTGCCGACGCCTTTGAGATCCAATTGACCTGGAATGATTGAATCCCGCTCGATATGTCGTATTGTCTCTGAATATATGGTCTAATCTATAATCGAAACGGCTTCAGCATAGACGTACCTCCTTTGCTCGACCACAATCCACGACATATCGTATCCCGGGAATAGTTAAGGACGTCTCAGCCACATTAGTAGCGACGACAACTAGTCTTGATCCCTCAGGAGGTGTCTCAAACACCTTCATTTGTCTTTTACTTGAGAGTAGCGAGTAGAGGGGAACGACATGCATAGGCACTGGAATCCGAGTCAGATTGC